GGAGTTGGTTCTTTGACCATGTGAGCCCTAGGGATCAAACTGAGGTCATCAAGCTGAGTGACAGATGTCTTTATACAGAGTTTTGAAAAAGTGGATGAATCTAAAGTTACTTAAATAATTATGTAAGATTTAAAAACGTATTTTCAAAATGCTTTGTGGAATATTTTGGTTAGAGTTAGTAAAGTAAATGAGAGCTAGAAGGTTCACAGAATAATGTCTTTAGAAGTCTCCAGTATATTTAGCATGTTTTATTTATGTTGATTTTAAAATGTCGTTTATATTTAAAAGGAGACAGTTTTACTTGGTGCAAAACAAAAATGTAAACTTAATAATTATGTGAACCTCTGTCTATTGGAAACTATCAGGTGCTCAAGTCCAGGCTAGAAAACAGGCCACAGGGATTGTGACTTGTAGTCAGCCTGTACAAGGTGTCCTTGGCCCTCCTACGACCGTGAACGGGTCAGGCTGTGGTGCAAAGCAGCTATGATGAATGAAGCCTGTGGTCGGGCTGAAGATGGAAAGACATCAGGGAGAAGCGAGTAACTTAGAGAGCCACCCCAGAGAGGATCATAGAGTCAGGTGCATAGGCAACCTCATTTGACCTACAGCTCTTATATGTAGATAGTTGTAAGTTCTTAACCCTTAAAAAGAATTTTTCCCAGTCTCACTCTAGGCCTAGGGCAGCCTCACATTCATATAATCCTTTTGATACAGCCTCCCAAGTGCTGGGATTGCAAGTATGAGCTACTATGCCTGGCTCTTAGCTTTCTAAAATTTGAAACGATGACAACCATCTAATTAGTTATCTATTTGCTGATAAAATAGTAGTAACTGGGGCTGGAGGGGTGGCTCAGGGATAAGGAACACTGGCTGCTTTTCCAGAGGTACCCAGGTTCGATTCCCAGGAGTCACATGGTAGCTTACAACCATCTGCAACTCTAGTTCCAGGAGATCTGATAACTATTTCTTGCTTCTGCAGGCACCAGGCAAAAGTGTATATGGGCATTTGCAAACAAAACATCCACACACATGAAACTATTTAAAAAATGATAGTGATAATATCTTGAAATTTTATATTTTTGCATATATGTGGTGTACATGTATATAATATGCATGTTTTCACGTATGTGCGTACTTGTATGCAGGCACACGTGGCAACCAGAGGTTGATGTCAGATGTCTTCCTGCATTTCTCTCCACCTTATATATTGAGACAGGTCTCTCATTTGAACCCAGAGTTTAAGCATTTGGCTAATACAGCTAACTGACTTGCTCTAGAGATCCCTGTCTATACTTTCCTAGAGCTGGGATTACAGGCAGGCCACCATGCCTGCCTTGCTTTTATGAGCGGATTGGGGATCTAAAGTTTAGTCCATATGCAGTAGTAAGTGCATTACCCACTGAGCCTCACCTTTCAAAGTCTCAATCTTTTATGTATGTATATATGAATTATTTATTCAGTTTTTCAAGACAGAGTTTCTCTGTGTAGTCCTGGCTGACGTGGAACTTGCTCTATAGATCCTCCTGCTTCTGCCATCTGCGTGCTGGGATTAAAGCAGTGTTCTACCCCAACACCCTTCCCTAGCTAAAATCTCTAACTTTGAAATGAAAACTTTTGGGGCTATAGAGATGACTCAGTGGTTAAGAACACTTTTGCAGAGGATCAGAGTTCAGTCTCCAGAAGCCATTTCCAGAAATTCAGAACCATCCATAGCTGCGGCTCTGGGTGGTGGGTGTTCTTTTCTGGACTGTCAACAGTATTTGCATATAATTAAAAATAAATCTTTAAAATAGTTGTTCCCCTTCATATTAATAAATGTAAAACCACATCATAACCTTTGTTCTTCAAAGAATGGAAGAAATTTGAAGTATTTTAGGTAGAGGTGCTTATTCATTCTTGGAACTTTAGAAATATAGAATCTTTAAAATCGTGTATATTATATAAGTGCTATTTTTGTAATCTTTTCTTAATTTATTAACGTCTATTCAAAGTACTTGTAATGATTTGCATCTATGTAAGAGCTGCAGTTTGTTTTTTCACTTTGCTTCCAGATCTTTTGTAGTTTTGCACATCAGGGATTGCTCTGTGGTCTAACTTTTTATTTCTGTAGATTCCAAGCAGCTGTAGTCTAAATGAAATAGTTAAAGAAGAGACTATTGCTCAGATATTTCCTTAGATAATGGTTTTTGGCCTCTTTTCACGTTTCAGCCAGAAACAGTTGCCCTTTCAGTAAGCTGTTGTGCATATGGGCAAAAACCCTAAAATCTATGTGTGCACACATACACACACTTGAGTTTCTTGTATGTTTATATAAATAAGTACACAGATAAAATCTCTTAAAGGCATGTGAATTAAATTCTGGGTTTTTTGTTTGTTTGTTTGTTTGTTTGAGAGATGGGCTTTCTTGTATCCTATGTTTCTTGTATTCAAATTCAGTATATATAAAGCTGAGGATATCCTTGACATTTTCTGATGCTCCCATCTTCATCCCGCTGGTATTGCTATTACAGGTGTGTATTACTGTGTCTGGTAAACAGGAGCCTTCTGAACCCTGGACTCAGCACTCAACTAGCACTCAACTGAGCTACATTCTCAGCCTCATGAATTTCAAGTTCTTGATGCTACTTTATTTCTTGTTTTCTTTCTTTAAGATTAGGAAATTCATTGGTAGAAACAGATGTAAGAATAGGTGGCCTTTTCTTCCAAACTTTACAATCATGCTTGTGTCCAAAGACAGTAGTAGATATTTGTGTGTTTTAAAGGTAGAGGTGTGGAATCTTTATTTTTTTGAGGGGTGGAGGTTGAAACAGAGTTTCTCTGTGTAACAGCTCTACCTGTCCTGGAACTCACTCTGTAGGCCAGGCTGGTCTCAAACACACAGAGATCCACCTGTCTCTGCCTCCTGAGTGATGGGATTAAAGGCATGTGCCACCACTTCCCGGTAAGGTGAGGAATCTTAAACTGACCTTGCGATGAACTGATCTTTGGATTTGTTTTTTTTTTTTTTGTTTCGTTTTGTTTTGTTTTTCTATTAGAAACTTGTGCCATTAACTGATTATGAGGTTGGTGTTTTGTTTCATTTTCCTGCAAGAAACTTTTTGCTTTAATGCCTTAGCTCACCTATATGTAAAATCAGTGCTGGATCAGGTAGTTTTCGTTTTTCTCCTAGTGTCCTTGAATGTATTGAATATATTATGGCAAGAGGGGTGTGTGTGTGCTGCTGGATGGTGACCTTTAGCATGTACGCAAGCTTTCTACCAGTGAGTGAAAGCCACAGCTGTGGTGTTATTTTGTGAGTGTAGTGGGGGTAGCGCTCACTTTGTGGTTTCTTCTCTAGTCCTTATTATGCTTGTTTTATTTTTAAATTAGATCGTCTCATAAAGGACAACCTTGAAGTTCTATGTCTTTTAATCCTATGAAAACTGCCTTTTAGTAGCTTGTTTGCAATCTACACTCAAAAGATAGATTTTAGTAATCTCAACCAAACCATCCATAGGAAATAGAGAGGGATGAGTGGAGAGAGAGAAAGAGAGAGAGAGGAGGGGAGGGCAGGTAAGCAGACAGTGGGTGAATAACTGATTTTTGCTATGTAGCCCAGGCTGCCCTCGCATTCCTAATCCTCCTGCTTTAGCCACTCAAGTGTCAGGGATTTCAGGGACGCACCACTACAACTGGTAGACAGGTACCTTTGGATGGTTTGGGTGCTGTCTTCAGCATGGAAACAGACTTATCTCTAAAGAATCATAGCTATCTGATCAAAATAACAATAAAACCCAAAACACTGCTGTCTATCTGTACCAATAGTACTCAAATAGCTCTAGTCTCTTGCTAAGAGGAGGGTGGTTGGTCGTGAGTGGCCCCTCAGTGTTAACCCTGCACAGATCAACTAGCCATTGGTTATTTATTTGTTTTATTTATTTATGCTTTTGTAAACTTCATTAGACATAATTGGACAAATGTGGACATAGTCATTACAGTTTTCTAAGAAAGATAGCAGAAACCTTAGTCTAAGTCCTTGACATTCTAACTTTATACCATGTAGCTGTATTATTTTCATAAAGGGTTTATTAATGCCTTTTTATTTTTTGTTGTTGTTGTTAAGATATTAGTGAGTAGTTTCACAACCAAGAATTTAATCCCTTCAGGCATTGTAGACCCCCAAAACCTTAGCTAACTTTTGCACAATCCTTAATGATGAAGTATAAGAACAACAACCAAATAAAGACACTCCAAAGAGAGAAAACAAGTGAACATTTAACATTGACTCGTTCCCTTGAAATCCCCTTCTTTATCACCGAATACTTAAGATGCCCACAACAGAACTAGTACAGTGAAAACTGTCCTCATCGCTCGGTTTAAAATTAAGATGTAGCTAGGTGGGTATAGTGTCACGTGCTACAGTCCCAGACCTCCGAAGGTGGAGGCCAGCCTGGGCTGCATGAGACCCTGACTTGAAGTTACAGCTCAGAGAGACCCTTCCTGCCTCCCTGTTCCAGTGTCCTTGCTCCTCAACCTGAGTATCGCTCCACACACTGGTATACTAACAGAGGACTCCAACATACGGCTTTCATTTGGTCTTATGTTCAGAAAACCTCTCATCTCATTCACTAAAAACATACCCAATGAGTACACCAGTTCTAAACTATAGAGTGTTTTCATATTATTTGTGTTATGTCTCACTGTAGTTATTATGAATATGCTTGTCTCTTCCACTGTGCTGTGAAGTTTTATATATTAGCAATCAATAAGTTTTGTGGATTTTCTTATGAGGATATCAATCATTCTGTCTTACCTTATGATCATTAACTGTCCTCTATTTAAGTACTTTATAAGCATGAGCTATTTATGGTGTGTGTGGCTCTCGAGAACTCTGCTGTTTGTTAGTCGTGGGAAGAGCTAGTTATATTGTGTGCTTGTCAGTTTTCTTTCACATTTTTTTGTAATTTCATGCACATGCTTTAAATTATCAAAGTAATGGTTCTTTTTGTATTCTCTTTTAGATATTGCTATATGGAGACTTGCCAAAAAATAAAGAAAATGTAATATATTTAGCAAATCATCAAAGCACGGGTATGTATTTTATTTGCATGAAATTTGGGGTTTTCTACAGATGGTAAATGAGCATTAAAATATACATACATATGTTTTAGAGACCAAATCTCATGTAACCCAGAATGGCCTTATACTCTAAATAGCTGAGGATGATTTTAAGCTTGGGGTACACCTGCCTTCACCTCCCGAGCATAGGGGTTATAGGTCTTTCGTACACCTGGCTTAGGTGGTGCTGGGGGTTAATTATGTGTGTGTGTCTCTGTGGGTTAGACCATGTGAGTGCACTTGCGTGTGGATGCCAGAAGAGAGCATCAGATCTGCCCCACAACTTTAGTTATAGGTGATTATTAGCTGCCTGTGTGGGTATGGGAAACTAAACTGTAAGACAAATATGTACTCTCAGCCCTGGCTTCAGCCTTAAAAATATTAATCTTTTATATTTAAACAAAGTGAGTTTTGGTTTTTTTTTTTGGTTGTTGTTAACATATGAATTTTCTGTAGATATTGTGTCTGGCTGTGAAATTTTATTTTACTTTTTTTGGTAAAGTCAATAATGTGAAAGGTATGGATTTTTTCTAGGCTTCTCTTTTGCATAGAATAGGTAATTTCTTCTCCCCATTTCCTTTAGTTTTTCTGCTTGTAAGTTGTGTTTCTAGACATGGAATTGGTGGATCCAAGTGTATACATTTTAATTATTAATTCTTTGTCTAGGCTTTTATTTACTTTGAGACATATTCTTACTATGTTGCCCAGGTTGACCTCAAACTCACAATTCTCCTCCTCAGTCTCTGAAGTAATAGATTGCAGTTGTATGCCACTACTGTTTGCACTTTATATATTTTTTTTAAATATATTTATTTATTTATTTATTATGTATACAATAGTCTATCTGTGTGTATGCCTGCAGGCCAGAAGAGGGCACCAGACCTTATTACAGATGGTTGTGGGCCACCATATGGGTGCTGGGAATTGAACTCAGGACCTTTGGAAGAGCAGGCAATGCTCTTAACCACTGAGCCATCTCTCCAGCCCTGCACTTTATATTTTTGATTATTAAGTCGCTTATTGATGTGCTGGTGTGTGACCACTCATTTCCTGGACGCAGTGCTGTGTTATAATTAGCTCGCACATCTGCAGTTCCTGTTGCCTCTTCAGTCCTGGTGGTTTAATTTCCATCGGAGAAGACAAAGACTAGTTTCCAGAATAGAACTTTATTTACTTTCAGTCAGGTCAGATATTTAAAAGTGTGTATTTTTAAGTAATTATCAATAAATTGTGATATACATTGAGTCCTGCAGTCCTTTCATGAAGTTCCTCAACATGGGGCGTTTGACAGGTGCAAAGGATCCAGTGATTGGCTAGAGTGTGCTTTATAGCTCCAATAATTCACTTCCTCCAAATCCCACTTCATGAATGTTTCAAACCCATGGCTGCTTTGGATACATACCTTCTATGTTTCATTTTTATTGCTTTGAGAAGTACAGTACCTAGAAGCCTAAAGCTAAAACCACAAACAATGCTAATATTCTGAATGGAAAGTCACTTGTGCCTATGGCCTTATTTCCCGCCCATCAACCATCTTGTCAGGATTTTGTTGCTTTTATACTCCTTGTGCCATAAACAGTGCAGAGATAAAGGAATTGAAATGAGTTTTTCTTTGTTTGGTACATTGGTAAATTTATTCAGATTGATTGGACAGTGGCTGAAGCTCCAAAGCTTGATATCAAATATATTATCTTGGATCATGTTTATGAGAATGGCTCAGACTCTGCATTTGACTTTGAGCAAAACCAAAGACAGCTCAGGATGACTGTCTGCTTCTAATTGGCCTGTTCAGACATGCTGACCTTTTTCATCACAGTCTGGCCTCTTGTTGTGGAGGGGAGATTCTACCTGGCTCAGATATTCAAATGTCCCGAGAACAGGGCATGGGCCATGACAACATCCAGTGTTCCACCTCGCCTTTTCTGTTAATCAGAGGTTGCTCCCATGCAGATTTCTTTCAGCTTCTTTCTTCCGAATAACCTTTTCCTAATGGAACTGCAGTCTTACCAGAGACATGTGAAACCACATAGTCCAGCACTCCTGGGGGCCATGCAGTAACAGGTGTGCTAAGGAGGGAGCTGCAGCTGCCATTTCACTGTTGTCCATGCTGGCCTCTATGGGTATTCCTTTAGAGCAGACCTCAGGAAAAGCATTGTAAGTGAGCAGCAGATAAAAGTCCTACTTGGTGTTTGGAATTTGAAGGTAACCTGGGAAGCAAGAGATCCAAGCCAGGCCATACTGACTAAGCTAGTTCCTTTCTTAGTCTAGAGGAACATTTCCCCCACCCCACCTCCAAGAGACTGCTCTAGGACTGATGCCTGATAACAGCCAACATTTGGGGGTTGAGAATGTTGTGGTCTGAGGCTCTGAATCAACCAAGCAGACACAAGAGGTTACTGCAAGGCAAGCTTTAATATAGGGCAGCACAAAAGAAGTGGGGAAGGAGAGGGTCTGATTAGTTGAGGCTGAAGATTGGGGAGCTGAACTGCTATGCTGAATGTCAGCTGAAGCAAGTATTTAAACACAGCAATCACAAACTTTTGTTGCCAAGTTACAGCTGCAATTTTCACCAATCAGGATTTAGAGATTAGGGATTCCCTTGAGGTTTCATCATTGTCAATTGTCAGACAATACAAGCTTTTCAGTCCAACCAGTCAGGTTCATTTGTTCCTTCTGTTGTTAAGAACAGCCATAACGTTTTTAGAGAACCAAAGATAGATAATGACTGTTTCTATGGATTAGGAATGAGGTGGGTCAGCTATTGAAAGGTTCCCAGTTCCCCTAGGCCTAGGGAACCTGAACTTTGTTTCACCCTTCAGGTAAAATGGATTCTGAAGTCAGAATGGCAGTACCAAGGACAAGGTGATTTTTTTTCTTCTTTCTAACAAGAACACCTCCCTCCCTAACAGGGTTTCTCTGTAGCTCTGACTGACCTGGAACTCATTCTACACACCAAGGTGGCCTCGAACTCACAGAGATCCACCTGTCTCTGCCTCCAAAGTGGTAGGATTAAAGGCTTGTGCCACCACCGCTCAGCAAATACTCTTTTTTTTTGGTCAACTTGAAAATAGTGCCAGAGTGCTTTGCATGTTAGGCAAGAACTCTGCTGAGTCACACATACAGGAACCACAAACTAAGGCTACATTTTGAGCACCCCTAAAAAGCCCACAATTTGGGAACATACCAGTGGGATGACTTTGAATTGCATTAGAATTGCATGTTAGTCTGTGTATGATGGAGAAAGGTGTAGAGTCTGCTCTGAGAAAACTGCACCTGTAAGAATTTGCATGTAATTCTAGGTTTGCAGAGGCTTTGAGAGCTCAGCCACCCAGTGTGGGTTGGTGTCTTTAGGAAAAGAGAATCTAAGAATGTTGGTCCAGCCTTGCACACGCTCACCTAGCACTTGCTGGCCTGATGCTCATGTAGAGTTGGCATTTCCATTTGTCTCTCAGCTACTGCTTTTATTTGATGTCCTACTGTCTCTACATCCTTACTTAAGGAAACTTTTGATCCTCCCCCTCCCTTTTGTCTGCTTTTGACATTGTTTACCTTTTTTTTTTGTTTTGTTTTTCGAGACAGGGTTTCTCTGTGGTTTTGGAGCCTGTCCTGGAACTAGCTCTTGTAGACCAGGCTGGTCTCGAACTCACAGAGATCCGCCTGCCTCTGCCTCCCGAGTGCTGGGATTAAAGGCGTGCGCCACCACCGCCTGGCTCATTGTTTACCTTTTAAACTTCATTACTGCTCATTTAGTTTAGATGGCAGTTTCTTGACTAATACTATGGTTGAGTGGATGGTCATAAACACCTGTGGGTTTGTTTGGGAGACCCTGTGTTTGTATGCTCCTGCTGTAGACTGTGCCAGCGGGCAGAGTACTTGGGTTCTCTGAGCCTGTGGATTAGGTGTGACTGATACCTACTGATTGGCTTTACGGGAATGTACAAATAGTTACATTTATAATTCCAGTAGAGTGCCTGGCACATGGGTGGCATTTAGCAGTAGTGTGGATGGTGGTGGGTATAACACAGTGCTGGATTATGGGCATAAGCTCTTATATGCCATATTTTGTATGTAACCCTAAGAATTAGAAATGAATGAGACACAACTACACAGATGAGGAGAATAAGATTTATTTTTTGTTCTCTCTTCAAGAAAATGCTTCTTAAGGGAAGCATGATTCTACTTATCTAGATCACTACTGAAGAATCCTAACTTAACCAAATTAAATTATTTTTGCTAGGACATAAAATGTAAATATTTATGTGAATGTAATTCCCTTCTATATTTTAATCCAGTGTTATTTCTGAAGCCTCAGTGTGAATAGACATGGTGAATCAATCTATGCTATATCATCTGATATATCATGATATATCATCTATATCATGTTACATTTTTATTTGGCCCCAGCTGACCTGAAGCTTGCCTTGTAGACCAGGCTGGTCTTGAACTCACAGAGATTTGCCTGCCTCAGCCTCCCCAGCTCTGAGATTAAAGGAATTGCCACCATGCCCAACTTGTAAATTACTTAAGTGTTTTTACTAAAGTTTTCAAATTTAAAGTCATGGTTTAGGGCAATTTATCTTGTACACATGACTTATTTTGAAATATTTGTATAGTCTCTTAATAGTTCTTAGAAGGTGAACCAGAGTCCACAATATAACTGCTTACTTAAATATAAAAATGGGTTTATTATTCCCTAAGCTATAAAAAAAATATCAGGAGAAGATGTCGAATTTGGCTTTTAGCTGTTTATCTCATTTAAATCCAGTATATACACTGGCAAGGAAATGCCGTTGATTAGTGTTTCTCAACCTGTGGGTTGTGACCCATTTGGGGTTGCATATCAGGTATTTACATTATGAATCATAGCAGTAGCAAAATTATAGTCGTAACATAGCAGTGAAATAATTTTATAGTTGGGGTCACCACAACATGAGGAACCATGTTAAAGGGTCACAGCATAGGCCCGTTGAGAACTGCTGCCATAGAGCCTTCACAGAGTAAGTTCTCCGTGCTTATGTAGACAATACATTAAGTATTCTTCTCACAGGCTTGGTTATATTTTCAAGATATAACTAGAAATAACTTTTATAATCCCTAACTTAAAAATATTTAATTAAGACTTTTCTTGAAAGTTGATTATTCATTTAAAGGGATAAAATCTTAGGATATTCCATTTGTATTTGCATTAGGAAAGAATTTTAAATTATCAAGAATTATACCAGGTTGTAGAAAAGTGCCCCATCTTGATAAGATTTTAAATTCCATGCTTTATAATATTTCCTATAGTTTGCCACCCCCCCCCCCCACACACACACACTTTCTTTCATGCTGCGATAGAGCCCAGGGCCACACACAGGATTAGCACTTACTCCATTGTTACATCTCCAGGCCTTTTTATTTCTTATTTTGAAGCATAGTCTCGCTAAGTTATCTTGGTGGGCCTTGAGTTCATGATCCTTCTGCTTCAGTCTTCCAAATAGCTAGGACTGCAGACCTGCACTGTTGGACTGACTGGAATCGTTTGTTGCTTTAAATGAAATATTGTCTCCTCTAATTGACTCCTTTTGGTCTCATTTTGATGGCCCCGAATACACTTCATTTCAGATTCTCAGCAACATCCTTGTTGTATACCCTTGAATTCCTCTAAATCCCAGCAGACTTTTCCTTACCTATCACCTTGATGTTTCCATTCTCGAGGAGTTAGCCATTTAATGGTCCCAGCAGCCAGTTAGTCTTGTCTTAAATTTTTCCGCCTTTTAGGACACTTTCTTATTTTTCTTTATTTATTTCACCTGAGAAAGTTTTACGTGACCCCCCCAAGTATATAGTGTAATATGGCCAACATTTACTAATAAATAGTAGAACGATTTATTTTTAAATACATATAATTTTAGCATTTGTTAAAGATGAAAGGCATCCTGCATATTAATGATATGGGTGAATTGTATATAAGGAATTAGTTGACTTTGGCTGAGTATTTGATACTACAGGATGTAGACCATTCCAGTGTTTTCAGAATTCATCAGGATTGATTTTGTAGTTGTTATTGCTGAGAATGTTTCCATAATACACAGTACAACACGCACAATATGTTTAGTGCCATTTCAGAAATTGTTTGAAATGCCATTCTATTACTAGGCCAAAATTCGTTTAGTGAAACTCAATTCTTTAAAAACAATTAAACAAGTTTTTAAAATCAAACATTCAAATGCAGTATAATTGAAAGATATACTAGTTTGGTACTTACAGTCTGAGGAATGGTAGTGGTGAAATATTAAATATTTTCTGTAATTAAGCCATTATATTTTTTTTTGTCAGCAGGCAACTGTGTATGTGTCTGTTTGTCTGTCTCTCTATTAAATGCACTACACTCAATATTCTACTGGTCTTGAGTCTGAGTCATGTTTCTGGCACCATTGGTTGGCGTTGCATGGTGTGACAGCATGCGTGGTAAGAATCACATGTGTCTCGTGTTCAGAACGAAAGCCGCAGTGGTACTGCACATTACAGCGTCGGGAGAGATGCCAGAGACACCTGGTTCATTGTGCATTTGATTTTGAATTAATTTTTGGTCATTGTTAAAAAAAAAAACAACTTTTATTCCCAAAGTTTTTTCAACCCCTACAATCAGTTATTTGAACCCTATGGGTATGCAACCCACAGTTTCAAAAGCTGAGAAATAAGGAGTGCATATCTACCCAGCACTGTTGTAAGTCACATGAGATCCTCATTACAATTGCACACTGCATCTAGGAAACCACTAGTGAAGATGCAGTGTGGTAGCCTCCTGTCAGACCTTGTGTGTGTAGAATATTTAGCTGCACTTGTTTCATTTGCCATTTTTGTTTATAATTTCCCATTCTTCGTTAAAAGAGAAATATTTCTGATTTTTAGCCTTAATTAAAAGTGACTTTATTCTTTGTATATTCTGTTGTTGGATTACTTAATATTTTGAATGTTTTTAAACATTTGTTTTTTATTTTTATGTGGATGTGTGAGTCCCTGCATATATATTTGCGCCATATATATGCTTGATACACTTGGAACTCAGAGGAGGGCGTCACATCCCCTGGAGCTGGAGTTAGAGGCAGAGCCACTGTATGGGTACCAGACCTGTGTCCTCTGCAAGAGTAGCAGTGTCCTTAACCACTGAGCAAAATCTCACCAGCCGTATGTAAAAAATAGCTTTTGTGTTTTATTCCTGAAATAAAAGGCCTTTTAAGAAATGGGAAAAGATAACTTCTTTTTGACTTAAGGTTTATTTATGTATTTTTAATGTGTCTGGAGTTGGCTTTGTTTTAAGCATTTTAATCGTATTTTCTTTTTAAAAATTAAAAACAAAAAAGTATTTTAAGACAGATCTTACTGTGTTGCCCTACTTGGCCTGAACTTGCTGTGTAGACAGACTGGCTTTGAGCTTGTATCCTTCTGCCTCTGACTCCAGTCATGTTTTCAATTATTTTGTGAAGACAGTGCTATGAGGAAGAGTTTTTGTTTCTGCGAGGGGAAGGCTGGAGTTGACTTTGGCTAGTACTGACTGGGTTCTGTCTTACAGTTGACTGGATTATTGCAGACATGCTGGCTGCCCGACAGAATGCCCTTGGACATGTGCGCTATGTGCTGAAAGACAGGTTAAAATGGATTCCATTGTATGGGTTTTACTTTGCTCAGGTAACCTTTGTCTTTGCTCTTTTATTTCAAATTAAACACAATTTAGTGAAAATATATCTGATTTTCTTTGTTTTATGTATGGTACTAGTGGATGGACATGGGGCCTCGTGCATACTAGGCAGATAGCCTTCTACTGAGTTACAGCCTCAATACAGATGTTTTTAAAATGATTTTTAATGGCTTGTTTTAAATTTAAGTATTTTTATTTAGAATTTTGTGTGTGCGCACGTGCATGCTTGCGTGCATATATTAATGCATGTGGAGGTCAGGACGATTTTTGGCACAACTGTCAGTGCTCAGTCACTCTTTGTTTGAGACAGTCTCCTAGACAGACCTTTGCTGTGTCGGCCAGGCTAGCCAGCCAGTTAGCCCCAACTACCTGTCTACCGCCTTGCCATTACTGAGATTAAAAGTGTGAACTGCTGTGCCCAGACAAGTGCTTTCCCAACTAAGCTATCTCTGCAGTTCTCATTCTTAATGGAGACTCTACATGTCTGCTTTTCCAGATAGTTAAATGAAATAGCAGAAAGACAAATACCTAGACACCAAATAGGAAATTAAAAGGCATAGAATTTGACAATCAGTTATGTTAATAAATTGATTCAAGGGGCTGGAGACATGGCTCAGCAGTCAAAGGCACTGGCTGTTCTTCCAGAGAACATGAATCCAATTCCCAGCACCCACATAGCAGCTTACAGCTGTCTGTGACTCCAGTTTCAGAGGATCTGACACGCACACACAGGCATGCATGAAGGCAAAAGCACTAATGCATATAAAACAAAAATAAATTATTTTTAAAAAGCTTAAAAATTGATTCAAATGTGATCTTTAGGAAATAAAACCAGAAACTGAGCTCAGTAAAAGAATGTGTTTCTCACAGTTAAGAAGGCTGAAGTCTCCTCAAGATCAGGGTGTGTGTAGTGCTGCTTTCTCCCAAGACCCACATTTTTGACTTGCAGACTTGCCTTCTCCTTGTGTTCTGAGCTGGCCTTCTCTCCACATATGCACATTCTAGCAGGGCCTTAGCTAGTGTATTTCACTTAACTGTAATTATTTTCTTAAGGACCTTATTTCCATATACAGTTGCTGTGAAACTTTGGGCTTCAATATAAGATTTTGGGGGAACAAAATGTAGTCTGTAATGTCACATGAATCTCTGTAGCTGAGTCCATATTTTAATTCCCTAAAGGTTGTAAGTGTAGACTTTTCTTAAAATTATTTTTAATGCCCTTCTATTTTGGCCAGTAACCAGCTTGCTTGCTTACTTACTTCCTTTCTTCATTCCTCCTTCTCTCTTTCTCTCCTTTCCTTCCTTCCTTCCTTCCTTCCTCTCTCTTTCTTTTACTTCCTTCCTTCTCTCTCTTTCTCCTTCCTGCCTTCTGTCCTTCCGTCCTTCTTTCCTTCCTTTCAATTTATTCTGTGTGGCTGACTGTCTTCTATATATATATATTTCTGGTGCTTTGTCCATATTTTAATTTCCAAAGATTATAAGTGTAGATATTTTTTTTAAAAAAAAATTTATGCTCTTTCCTCCTGGCCAGTGGCCTCTTTTATTTATTTATTTATTATTTTTAATTTACTTTATGTGGTTGGGTGTCTTGTATATATGTATTCTTTGTGATCATGGAGGTCAGAAGAAGATGCTAGATCCTCTGCAACTGGGTTAGAGATAGTTGTAACCATATGGTGCTGGGAACTGAATCCAGGTCCTCTGAAGGAGCAGCAAGTGCTCTTATCCATTGAGCCATCTTTCTAGTCCTGGGAGTGTGGACATTTTAAAGATACTTTTAATTAACTTTGTTTGAAATCAGTGAGTTAAGATCCATCACAAAAAGTTGTTGAATTAAATCTTTTAAAGAAAGAAAATTTTAACTCCTGACAAAATTGTGTATTTTTTCAGCACAGTGCAACACACAGTCTTATTCAGGTTCTGTAGAAATAGAATTTTCTGTAATCGGAGACTGTTCTATGGTTTCCTGGCCACCCAGACCTGAATAATCACATAAAAACTTCATTAATTGCAGCACTGTTTGGCCAACAATTTAGCCATATTTTTAGCTAGCTCTTATATCTTAAAGGAACCCATTTCTTTTAATCTGTGTATCACCACGAGGCTGTGGCTTACCAGAAAGGTTCTGACGTCTTTTCCTTCAGCAGCTACATGGCATCTCCCTGACTCCACCTTCTTTCTCTCTGCATTCAGTTTAGTTTTTCCTCCTAGCTCTATTCTGCCCTGCAATAGGTCAAAGCAGCTTCTTTATTAACCAATGGTAATAAAACATATTCACAGATACAGAGGGGACTCCCACATAATTTTTTGTGGAATTGTATAGATGGTGATACTTAAATATTAACTGTAGCTTAAGTTCTGAAATGTAGGTTTATTCCTTACTCGTTGGGAGTAAAGTTGCCTTTTTGATGACTATGACAATTAGTTATTTAAAGAGTAATTGCTTCTTTTTCTTTTTTATGTACCAGCATGGAGGAATTTATGTAAAACGAAGTGCCAAATTTAATGAGAAAGAAATGAGAAACATGCTTCAGAGCTACGTGAATGCAGGAACACCAGTAAGCGTGCCTGTTTCCATTCCTCAACTCAGTTTGCTATTTAAGTACTTAAAATCTCAGTCATTTAAAAAACATATTACCACATGTGGAATAACTCATTCAGAGTTTTGTTGAGATAAACTGTCCTCTTAGCTGTCAGGAAATATTGCTACTAATGATTTTAAGCTTTTTTCCTAGTGTTTTGGGGTTCTTTCTTTCTTTTTTTTTTTTTTTTTATAGCCTTGATTGTCTTGGAACTTGCTCTGTAGACCAGGCTGAACTCGAACTCAGAGATCTGCCTGTGTCTGACTCTCAAGTGCTGGGATTAAAGGCATGTGCCACCATTATTTTTAATAAAGAGGGGAAGAAAAATATTATGAATATAGAGGAGGTACAAAAAGAGAATCATGATTTTCTACTGGAATGGTTGGCCTTATTTTTTTTTAATGGCTTTCTTTTTGCTTTGTTGGGTTTTTTTATCTTATACTTTTTTAATTGATTTTTATTGAGCTCTTTATTTTTCTCTGCTCCTTGCCTCTTCTCTCCCATTCAACCCTCTCCCATGGTCCTCATGCTCCCAATTTATTCAGGAGATCTTGTCTTTTTCTACTTCCCATGTAGATTAGATCCATGTATGTCTCTCTTAGTGTCCTCGTTGTTGTCTAGGTTCTCTGGAATTGTGATTTGTAGGCTAGTTTTCTTTGGTTTATGTTTAAAAACCACTTATGAGTGAGTATATATGATCATTGTCTTTCTGGGTCTGTGTTACCTCACTCAAAATGATATTTTATAGCTCTATCCATTTGCCTGCAAATTTCAAGATGTCATTTTTTTATGCTATGTAGTAAGTATAAATGTACTACATTTACCTTATCCATTCTTCGGTCGAGGGGCATTTAGGTTGTTTCCAGGTTCTGGCTATGAAAAACAATGCTGCTCTGAACATAGTTGGGCACATGTCCTTGTGGCACAATTGAGCATCCTTTGGATATATACCCAAAAGTGGTATTGCTGGGTCTTGAGGAAGGTTGTTTCCTAATTTTCTGGGAAATTGGGTTGTCCTTATTTATATAGTATAACAGGCAAACTTAGAAAAAGATTGTTGAAATAAGATTTGAAACTAGCCCAACCTTGGCCACTGCCCTAGGAACACTTATTTTGCCTGCTTCTTTTTTAATTTATTCTTCTCTCATACAACATATCCCTAACTGCAGTTCGCCTCCCTCAACTCCTCCCAGTTACCTCCCACCACACACACACTCCTCCCCATCCCCCCAATCCATTCCTTTTCTGTTTCTTTTTCAAAAAGATCAGGCCTCTCAGGGATACCAGCTGAACATAGCAAAACAAGATACAATAAAACTAGGCACAGTCTCTCGTATCAAGGCTGGGTGAAGCTAGTAGGAAGAAAAGGGTCCCAAGAGCAGACAGAAGAATGAGACACCCCCATCTCCACTGTTAGAAGTCCCAGAAAAACACCAAGCCATCAACCATAACATATATAGAGGACCTAGTGCAGACCCATGCAGGCTCTGTCTCACTTTCTGCATACTACCATAAGCTAGGAAGTCCCAATATGTGTGTTTACCCAACTTATGGACAGACCCAGTTGGCCTCATTCCTAGCTAGGTAACCTGGACTCCTTCTCAAAACCATTCCATCCATCAAGACTGAGTTCCTTTTCCAAACACACACCAGATTCTGCCCATCTGAGGACTCTTTTCCCATAATTTGTAGGACTGACTGCCTCTCAGCAGGGAGGGCCATTAGACCTATACCTGAATCTCCTTCCACCCTCACCAACGTCTTGGGGACATGCTCACATGCCTCTGTGGGTCAGTTTCATTTATAGTAGGGAATGTAATTTGCCTTGCTAACACTTAACATATGAAGAGCCCTTGCTTGCCCTCATATTTAACTGGGGAAGATAATCTACTCACCAACTCCACTCTGTGCAACCCAGACAACTCTACCCAGTTCATTTGTTCTTCTAAATCAACAGTTCTAGCCTGAATGCTAGACTCTGTGCCCAAGCCTAGTCCCATCTGTCTTGTCCAGAATAACCCTAACCTTCAGGATTAGATGAGGATCCACATCCTGTTCACCAACTCAGTTCCCTTTGTCTGTCTGACTTTATCTCTTCTATGCCATGCCCATTGTTCAGGCTCAATCCTCCTTCACATACTGTGGGCTTTCCCAGCTTCCTTCATCCATACCAAATACAGAAATAACAAAAGAGGTCCACATGCCCAGGTCACATCACATAAACAAAAACATGTGTGGTAGTTTGCAAGACAGTCTCCCCTTGAGGCTCAGATACTTGAATACTTGGTTCTCATGTAGTCGTTGCTGATTGGATCAGTTTAGAAAGCATGGTTTTTCCGGAGTCAGTATATAACTGGGAAAGGACTTTGAGATTTAAAAGCCCCACACTGTTCCCAGTTAAAACTCTGCTACCTGCTCAAAGTTGAGGATGCGAGTTCTCACTCTTCCTGATGCCATATCTCCTGTCTGCTTCCACAATTCCCTATCATGTTAGACCCTTTTTCCCCTGGAATCCTAAACCCAAACAAACAACAACAAATTTGGCAGTAATGATGAATTCTAAAGAGTCTTCTCTGGTTGAGCAAAAACTAATGTATTTTGCATGGGCACTGTATTACTTTCTCATAGGTATGACCAAATACCTGACAGAAAGCAATGTAAAGGAAGAAGGGTGTCTTTTGATGTGTGGTTTGACAGTATCATGACTGAGAAGCATGGCGACATAGCTGTGGCAGCAAGAACATGAGGCTGCTTGCTCAGATCTCTGTAGATCTGGGGACAGGGCAGGGAGCAGGGTCAGGCTATAAATCTCGGGATTCACTGCTCAGAGTTCTACTTCTTCCAGCGGGGCCCCATGTCTTGAAGGTTCCACAGGTTCCAGAATAGCACCTGCCGTCTGGAAACCAAATGTTGGCATTGCTGAGCCTGTGGTGGATACTTTACGTCCTAACAGGCACATTTCATCCCTAGTTCTGTAGGTTCATGGCTATCTTATAATACAAAATCCTTCTAGTCCAACTTCAGTAGTACCACTCTTTGTATTAATTTTCTGTATTACCCCCTCTCCTTAGTTAGTACCCTAGTTAAATTTCTAATAAGCAGCTTGAGAGAAGGCTTTATTTTGGCCTGTGCTTTGTTGGTATATTCCGTTGTGCAGAGGTGGTAATCCGATAGAGCTAAGGCCACCAGAGGATGAGCCTGTCCTGGAGCTCACTCTGTAGACCATGCTAACTCACAGAGATCCATCTGCTTCTGCCTCCCGAATGCTGGGATTAAAATGTGTGCTACCACTGCCTGATATAGATTTTTAAAGATTTGCTTTACCATAAACGTAGAGCTATGTTTTATTGTAGTCTATGTTGTGGTCAGCCTTACTTGAATCTCTGCATTTTGGTAACTTTGCTGAAAGTAAAGGTTTTTTGTAAATGAATACACATTTTCTCACCATGTGAAGATCTACTTCAACAGTCACAGTTTGAATTGCTACGTTAGTGGTTACAACAGTGGACTCACACAAACTAAAGTTTATTTATGCCCCACAGATGTATCTTGTGATTTTTCCAGAGGGAACGAGATATAATAGAACACAGACAAAAGTCCTTTCAGCCAGTCAGGCATTTGCTGCTCAACGGGGTAAGCAGAATTTTGACTATATTCAGAAAAGTACTTTTTAGGGATCTTTGTTTTCTTTAGGTTCTTCCTGGAGAATATGGGTTTTTTTTTTCTTTTTTAAGATTACTTATTTATGTATTTATTTATTATACAGTGTTCTGCCTGTATGTCAAAAGGGGGCGCCAGATCTCATTATAGATGGTTGTGAGCCACCATGTGTGGTTGCTGGAGATTGAACTCAGGACCTCTGAAAGAGCTGTCATTGCTCCTAACCTCTGAGGCATCTCTCCAGCCCGTGAGAATATGTGTTTCTTATAAGAACTGAATGAGAGAGTGTCTGAACTTTTACAGAGTTAAGTAGATTCTTAGTAATTTGTGTCGCAGAGGTTAGATTCACATGCTTGCTATGGCATATACTCCCACGCTGTGAACTGGAGATGAAAACAAGACAGAGTCAGTGCCAGAGCAAGTACTAGATAATCCACAAGGAGAGTTTGTTTATTCTTGTCTACTTTTTAGACAATTTTCTTTTTAAAATTATTTTTAAAATTAGTCCATAAAATACGGGTTCATTGTCACATTTTCATTCAAGTTCTTTGAGTATAGATCTAGGAGTTGGATAAATACACTTGGAAGAATCAGCTAGTTAATGACTTCAAATTTCAAGATAGTGTGTGCCAGAATTGAGAAGCACATGGTTGGGATCACAGTTCTTTCTGCATGAAGACTAGAGGAGGATATGCTTTTTGACATCCCAGAAGGATGGGAATTTCCTTCTGGGATGTCACAAAAGGCTAGGCTTTGTCTGATTTGTGGACATTGTTTGTGTGGTTGTGATAATTGGACACTGGAGGACTGGGTGCTAATAGGAACAGACAGGCATGTATGCATTTCTTCTTATATGTTGCTATCACTTCTAACCTGCTTTTTGGGCTTCCAGTTCTAATCGTTTAATAGAAATATTGGTTGAGCCAGAATTGGTAGTGCGTACCTATGAACCCAGTGCCTGGGATCTAAGGTCCGAGGCTTATTAATTTGAGGCCAGCCTGGGTCTGTCAAAAAATTAATAATCCTGGTTAAGGTAGCATGCGACCTGCAGGTCTGATGGGGTAATTCTATAAAGTCCTGAGATCGGATGGCCTCTAGTGGCAAAGAAGGACTTAGCTGACAAGAAAGTTTCTCAACTTGGTTGACTTTTCAGACTTTGGTACAAGTGTGTGGATAAATTACACTCCTCCTGCCCTGGGGACTGAAGTCAGATATGTGGTTGTGGGAATCGTTTTCTTTCCCACACCACCCTGCATTTTAAAAATTCTTCTGTAGACAGTCCCACCATACTGCAACTGTTCTTCCTTATGCAGCCGCTTTCCCTGGAGAGAGGCAGTAGAAACTTCCCTAGTCACTGTTCAGATTTCACAGCGAGACCTCGTGTTTCCTGTGAAATTGTCAGTACATACTCGAGTCAAGCAGAGAAAACAGCAGAAGAGAATGATGAGTTCTACTCCTAGAAAAAGTTGAGCGATTGGCAAGATGTCGTTGCCCTTTGTGTATCTTTCCTTTCGGGGCTTACCAAAGAGAAGGGTCCAAGTGAGTCATAAGCTTCCCGAGGCCAGCCTTTCCCAGCCTCCATCAGGGTGTCTCATTCATGTAGATGTTTAATGAATATTTGTTCAGTGCAGTTTGACCCAGTAAAGATGGAAATGCAAGAGAGCATTCTAAGCCCATAGCCAGCTCATAGATGTGACGTTAGGGCTTTAAACTTTTAATTCCTGTCTATTTGCGGTAGTTGATAAGTAATTTAGATGTTGAACTTAATGTATTCCTGATCATGACCACACTGAATCCTCCTGCTTTCTAGGCCTTCCAGTATTAAAACACGTGCTGACACCAAGGATAAAGGCAACTCATGTTGCTTTTGATTCTATGAAGAGTCATTTAGATGCAATTTACGATGTCACAGTAGTTTACGAAGGGAATGAGAAAGGGTCAGGAAAATACTCAAATACACCGTCCATGACTGGTAAGTCCATATTTCTGTGTATTAGAATCTGAGCAGTACATGGTACAGGTAAGATATAAACTCTTTTCTCTCTTTCTTCCTTTTTCAGTTAGTCAGTGCCTTTCTGTGGAAGAAGTATGGTGCTTGTATTTAGCTCTAGCCTCGAATTTGCAGTCCTCCTGATTCAGCCACCCTGTGTTAAGATTTTATAGCCCTGCAGCTGACCTTCCTTTATTTTACTTATTGGTGGTTACTAATGCATAGCATTTGAAATTTCACTCAGCGTTCTAAATTTTATGTTTCTGATGAGTCTGTGGAGGTCTTTAGCCTGGCTTCTTCCTGCTAGAGGTTCACATATGAGACTGGGAAGATCTACAAAGATATGAGGACAAGCTGCTCAGCTAGCAGTGTCAAGAGGCATAGCCATGGTCAGTGGTAGTCTTGAAACTCCTTTTTTTTCCTTTTTCTTTTTTTCTTTTTTTTTTTTTTTCAAGACAAGGTTTCTCTGTAGCTTTGGAGTCTGTTCTGGAACTCGCTCTGTAGACCAGGCTGACCTCGAATTCACAGAGATCCACCTGCTTCTGCCTCCTGAGTGCTGGGGTTAAAGGCCTGCGCCACCATTGACCAGTCTGCCTTGAAACTTCTTTTTCTGTTTTTGTTTTTTTGTTTTGGTTTGCTTGGTTTGGTTTTATTTTTCAATGCAGGGTCCCACTGTGTAGCTTTGGCTCTCCTGGAACTCACTGTGTAGATCAAGCTGGCCTTGAACTCAAGCCACTACACTTAGCTTCCCTTTTCTCCCACCCTTTTTAAAAATGGTTTTTGTCTTAAGCCTTCGTTGTAGCATGCTTGGGAAGGACGTTTGTATTATTGGACAAGAAGAAATCGGACCCTTCTCAAGCATGTACTAGATTTTAAGGACTCAGAACTGTTGCCTGTGTCATAACTAAAGGGTTTTGAGTGAGAATAGTTTAAGTAACTGTAGCTACAACCCCATCATTTGAACATGGGAGCAGAAGAACAAAGGAGTGCTGGAAGAGTCTGGCCCCTTTCAGAGTATTCATCTTAGAGAGAGAAGAGCAGAGAGGGGGAGAAACACACGTTTGTCACAAACAGAAGAGTTCTATTGTAATCATGCAACCCTAACCCTAGGAACATGAAGCGGTTTGATGGTCAAAACCAGCCAGCTTTCATACATACTTTGAGGAAGGAATTGGCTTTAACAGTAAAAGAGAAAAAGCACTACAATATAAGAGATTTTTAACTTTTAAATATTTAAAAAAAAAAACTTTTGTATACAAAGTGATAGGTTTCATTTTGTCACTTCTCTACCTAGATGGCTGCTTTTTCAGTTCGGCTGTTAGAAGTCAGTGATAGCTGACTCGGGGTTAGCAAGTGCTGTATGTTAATACAGATTTTAACCTGAGCTTAATACTGCAAGTCATAGTTTATAGGGTTTTTTCCAACTTTTTGGGGTCTTTATCACTTTGTTTTCATTGTAAGTTACATTATATAATCATGAATTCTAGAGTAGTAAGACCTGAAATCTTTTTCTTCTTTGTTAGAGTTTCTCTGCAAACAGTGTCCCAAACTTCATATTCACTTTGATCGTATAGACAAAAATGAAGTTCCAGAGGAACAAGAACACATGAAAAAATGGCTTCATGAGCGTTTTGAGATAAAAGATAAGTAAGTGGTAACAGTTCCAGCATTCAGAAACTACAGTTCAACTCAATTTCACTATAGTAATCAATTTGAAAAAGAGGTGTTTCATTATTTACGAAATACTAATCAAACTCACACAGATAAAACCTTTCATATTCCTGTGTAACACGTTTAATTGCTCTTGTATAACCATTAACTTTTAACGTTTCTGCATCAGTACGGCTCTTAGTTTCTGTACAATGACAACTCAGCACGGTCAGCTAGGAGGCAACGGCACAGCGGCAGTGAAACTAGACTCTGTTGTTTCAGGGTTGTTTTTCATGAACTCGGGTTAAATCTTACTCTAGTCTTCCGTGCTCACATTTTAAACTGTTAGGAGTTACTATGAAGATTGTGTGCAGGTGGCCTACCTGCAGTGTTTTCTGAGTAGACTGCTGTGTGATGTAAAGGAGGAGCCTTTCCTCTGTGCAAGCTGCGCAGGGAACAGCAAGACCGTGGAGATGGAGACAGTGAATGAAGCACTGTGTGCTTGTGGGAGTAGGAGGGGGCAGTCGATATTTTCATAGTGAAATTATCACCTGTCTTGAGTTAGTAAAAAGTAGTTAGTACCTGACATAAGCTTTTCAGCCCATCAATTCAGGATTGCTTTGGTGATAGGATCAGTGTAAGAAGACCTGTGTACCTTAATATGAAAATGTGTTTTCAGGAAAGGACTGGACAGTGTTTGATACCCACCTGTTTGTGTTATAGACACTTAACATGCGTTTTTACTCTCTGACTCTTTCACTCTTTGGGGGGCCTGCCACCCAACTCCCAAATAAATCACATGGAGACTTATTCTTTCTTATGAAGATGAAGCCTTGGCTTGGCTTGTTTCTAGCCAACTATTCTTTACTTAAATTATCCCGCTTGCCTTATGCTCCCAGGCTTTTACCTTTTGCTACTTCTATATACCTTTTTTAAATTCTTACTCCATAGCTTGCTGTGTAGCAGGGTGGCTGCCCCCAGGAGTTCTCTTCTCCTCCTGTCTTTTGTACCTCAATCTTTTCCTCCCAGATTTTTCCTCCTGTTTATTCTCTCTGCCTACTAGCTCTGCCTATCCTTTCTCCTACCTAACTATTGGCCGTTGAGCTATTTATTAAACCAATCAGGTGTTTTAGACAGGCACAGTAACACAGCTTCACAGAGTTAAACAAATGCAACATAAAAGAATGTAACACATCCTTGCATCATTAAACAAATGTTCCACAGCACAAACAAATGTAACACATTTTAAAATAATATTCCACAACAAACATGTACTCGTCATTACCTCTATGAATGTGCCCACGGGGCAATGGGGATGCTTCCTGTGCTGTAGGTCCTGTCCTGCTGCTGTATCTTTACATGTTTAAGTCAGAACGAGAATTAACACACCATGCTCTTTATTTGCCCCCTCTGTTTTTATAATTACATGGGAATATAAACTTTTGGGAGGAGTCTTAGTCAGTGTTCTGTTGCTGTGAAGAGACACCATGACCAAAGCTACTCTTGTAAGAGAAAGAACTTAATTAAGGACCTCCTTACAGCTTCAGCGATTTAGTCCATTATCATCGTGATGGGGAGCATTGGAGCAGTCAGACAGGCGTGGTGCTGGAGAAGTAGTAGAGAGTTCCATTCTGATCCACAGGCAGTAGAGACTGAGAGAGACGACCTGGATGGACGTGGGGAACCTCATAGCCCACTCCCAGTGGCACACTTCCTCTAACAGGGCCACCCCTCTACAATCCTTCTCTAATAGTCACCATTCCCTGGTAACTAAGCATTCATATATATGAAACTGTGGGGACATTCTTACTCAGACTGCCACAGAAGGAAAACTCGATATATATTGTAAGAATTTCTTTTCTTTAACTTCTTTGAAAGCTTCTTTTTGTGAGACTGGATCCAGGGGCTCACACTTCATAGGCAAGTGCTCTACCAATCAGCTACAGCCTCAGCCCTTTTCTTTAGTCTGGACGGGATGAGAGCTATGAGAGGAAAGAGTGAGGCTGGTAGGCCACTAGTCACATGAGTCAGGGCGCTGTAAGTTCTTACAGATGGAGAAGTGAAAAACAAAAATGGGACTGGAGTGATGGCTCAACAGTTAAGAGCATTGGCTGCTTTTCCAGAGGACTTGGGTTCCTTTCCCAGCAACCATATGAAAGTCCTCATCAAACACTTAAACCAAGTGTTTTGAGTTTCACTTCCCATCTGGTAAGGATAGACTACAATGATACCGTAAACTAGTGGTGGATTCCCTACCACGCTGTCTCTAATATGTCACTCATATGGAGTTCTAAGGAACTGTACTTGCTCAAGCAAGTAATTAGTATCTAATAGATGATTTTTTGTTTGTTTCAAAACCAAAATGTCCAAAACTGAAAGTATCAATTCTGTTGTTTTCATTCTGGCCGTAGGTTGCTCATAGAATTCTATGATTCACCAGATCCAGAAAGAAGAAATAAATTCCCTGGGAAAAGTGTTCACTCCAGACTCAGTGTCAAGAAGACTTTACCATCAGTGTTGATGTTGGGTAGTCTGACTGCTGTCATGCTCATGACAGAGTCTGGAAGGAAACTGTATGTGGGCACCTGGTTGTATGGAACCCTCCTTGGCTGCCTGTGGTTTGTTATTAAGACATAAGCAGTTGCGGGCTCCAGTCATTGTCTCTTACTGATGGCTGCACATTACGTCACATTGTTTCCTGAATTAAAGAAGAAGTTTTTTTAAAGCCTTGGTGATTGAACTCTGGATAAAATAGAATTAGTGACCACAGCCAACAGGCAGTTGATTTGGGACAAACACACATGGCTTTTCAGGTGCTGGGGTTGCTGGAAAAATGAAAGCTAAGTGGAGTTTATGCTGTTTTTGTGTTCTTCATGAACTTATGTCCACTTGCAAAATCATTTGGATTGTAGAATTTGATGTTGTTTATAATTCAGATGGCTGTATTTTAACATTACTTTTTAGCATAGTTCGCTATATTGGTTATCTCCCATCTTGATTACTTGGCAGCTCGAACTCTTATCACTAAAGTATTTTATATTTTGAAGCTATGTGATACTGGGTTTTTGTAAATTCTGCAAGTCATGGAAAGATATTGTAATTATGTGTTAATGTTCAAAGAAAAAGGTGAGAAGTATTCATGGCAAAAAAAACCTGTCTAGCATTATATTTTTATTATATTGCTCTATTTAGCTAGTTTTCTTTATATTTACAAAATAACAAACATTTCTAATATTTATTAAAATTGCTTAATTTGCATACCCCCTATTCTACAGAGAATAATGTGTAAAGTATCAGAGTAGAGTTGAAGCTCTGTTGTGACTGTCTCATTTGGCGGAGCTTTAAATAGCCCAGCATCTGAGCTACTGAGTTAGCGCCTCCCAGTGTCTGTGCTGTGAGTGCTTATAAACATAAGGGCCCTGTTATTTTCATAACAGCACGGACAACAACAGTGATGGAAGTCTGCCAGCATCCTGATTGTCTGTCCTAGCACGTGCCTTCTGCCTGTCTCCCTTTGCTTTCGCACTGCATTTGGTCTGGAGCGTGTGCGTTCATGGTCGCTTGCTGCTTCTCCCAGCCCTTGCTTTCTGGCTTGGTGTCCTCCAGTGGTGCTGTTCATTGTTGGGGTGCAGGCAGTGCTGCCTGACTCAGAGGGGCATTTCCCTGACTATGGGTAAGCCTCCTTGGCTACCGAAGAAGCGTTTTGCATTTGTTCATGTCAGGTAACATCAGAATTGGGTAAATTTTATTTCTCTTTAGTTTTCATGGAGCTACACTGTTGATACATATCACCTGGGAACAAGAGCTACCTTCCAGGACCAACTCACACTCTTCTCAGTCATGCAACAGTGTATCCTATGGAAGGAGGCCTTCTAAAGTTTGATTTGCTGTATTCTTAGTTGTAATTTAAGTGTGATTGCCTACTAGTCCTTTAAGGTACCATTTCTGCATACAGATTTTTGTCACAAAATTATACCAATGATTGAGTTGAAATAGACCATTTGAATCACAATAAATAAATTTTTTTAATTGAGGGAAATTTTGCCTCTTACATTGTTTTCCTGAAATCAGAAAATGAGCCATAGCCAACATCTTTGAAGAGTCACATGCTGTCACTTGGTTTCTATGCGTTTGTATATTCATATATGGATATGTATATTCACATGAATATGTATATCTGTATATTAATATGCATATTCACATATGGATATGCATGTTCACATATGGATCTGTATATTCATATACAGTACACATACATCCAAAGAATTTAGTGGCCTAAAAGCAAATAAAAAACTTGTTCATCATGTTACTGTGCCAAGTTGTAATCGTCTTTTACTTAAAAAGTGAAGTTGAAATCAATCTCACATTTTGGTTAAATACATTTTTTAAACAGTCCTATTAGAGCTCATTTTGACCAGATCAAAATAAGTACAAGCTAGGAGACTTTAAACATGGCTGCGGACAGGAGAAACAGCTCATCAGTTAAAGAGCAGTTGCCATTTTTGCAGAGGGTTCAGTTCCCAGCACCTGCGTGGAGGCTCACAAAAGCCTATAATTCCAGCTCAATTGGAATCGGACATATTTTCTGGCCTGTGTGGGAAGCCACATGCACATGCATACATACATACACATATATGTACACACATTAAAACAAATTATGTATGTGCTGTGTATTTGAATTTTAGAAGACAGTACCATTAGAATTACATGGATATAACTGATTCTTTTTAAACAGGGCAAAGTGGTCTACATATGGTCTTTTGAACATTAGAGCTGTAATTACTCTTCTCGAGAGCAGTCTATAAAATTAGAAATAAATTATATCAAAATGTTTGGAAAACTAGAAGCGTCTCTTAAACATGTTAATTTTGACTTGACATAACTATTTTCTGAAAATTAACAGCTTACCTGTGAATCCTTTCAGATAATATAATTTAAGATTTTATTTATATTACTGTTATAATAAATATTACTGTTGACTTGCAGCTTAGGGGCTACTGTAGCTTTCCTTGATAAGAGTGCCATCACTGTGCATGCTTTTATGTTTCTTGGAAAGGGTATTTGGATGAAAGTAAGGAAATAAAAGCTCTCGTTGCTCTCATGTCTGCGCTGTCTAACATTTCATGGCTCAGGGTTCACCTGTTTTCTAGCATGTAAGAGGTTCAGTGGTTAGCCCTGAATTCTGAATTTATAAAGCTACATTATTTTTTAAGTATTGAGCAAAGTTTAAAAAAATACATTGAAAAACCCCAATTGTGAAGCAATGAGAGAGTTGGGCTATATAAGCTAATTTTCCTACTTTAGAGGGTGTGTGCCCTGTGCTCATGGTTGTCAGTTCAGTGATCAGCAGGTGACCCCCCAGGAAGCTTGTCAGGTGTCACTCAACAAGGCTGTAAATAAAAGTGCCAGCCTGACCAATTCTTAGACACTTGGTGGTTTCTTCCATATTTCATTTCTGTGTAATTTTTTTCACTTAATTATCAGTTTTCTTTATAGTTCGTATACTCATTACTTTTCCCTTTACAGTATTGCATGCTTTATCAGTAATGACTTGATTAGCTATTAAGAAAAAATTAGAAATTAAAATCTGCCAAAATGTAGGCATAAAATAATTGACTCCTAATTGTATATCAGATCCATATTTGAAAGGACAGAAATGTCTCACAAGATAATAAGATCAGATGTAAAATACTAAAAATGAGTTTTAACCTTGCAAATTGTTGTGAAGTGCTGAGATTGAAGGCTGGGTTTCAGGTTTTCTGGCTCCAGCACTGGTGTCTGGAATGTTAGAGTATCTATAGGCAGGCTGGTTTCTCCTTTTTGTCCTTTAGTCTGAGGATTGGCTGACTTAAAATATTACCAGTTCCATATAATTTGCATTATAGGCAGAATGCATAACATTCCAGCGTTAGTGTGAAAACTTTGATCAGTACTCTGAAAGTAATATTTGGTATATTCAGATAATTTGATAATATGTAGGTAAAGTATTTGTGTGATTGAACTGAATGTAAAATGTTTTATTCAGATATCGTGGATAAAAGCTGGGTGTTGTGACACATGGCTGCAATCAGGGTACTTGGAAAACCCAGGCAGGAGGATAGCTGCAAGTTGGAGGTCAGCCTGGTCTACTTAGCAAGTTCCGGACTTGTCAGGTCTCTGTACTGAGATCTTCTTTACCCTGACTGCACATACAAAAGAATCACTATCAAAAGAATCTGTATCAAAGTGGCACAGAGAATCACTTTGAATTTAGCTACAACATTTTTGTTGAGATTTCATTTGAGGGACTGGAGAGATGGCTTAGGGGTTAACAGCACTGGCTGCTCGTCCCAGCACCCAGGTGGCAGTAATTGAGGTTACTGTTTGTAACTCCAGTTCCAGGAGATCTAACACCCTCACATAGATGGGGCAAAACATGCAGGCAAAACACAAGCACACATAAATTAAAAATAAATAAATTATAAATTTTTTTTGAAGATTTCATTTAATATATGTTTTTGTAAGCTGGTAGATCTGATGTTTTTGATAAATGGAGAGCCATAATGTGGAGTTCCATTAGAGGCCAGAAATCTACTTGTCATATAATGTACCTTACGTAACACATATACGTATTATGTATCTAATTTAACTATACCTGATTGTTACCCAAGCAGAGAAATTCCTTGGAAAAACTCCTTCAAATAGAAATCTGACATCAGAGTAGATCCTCAGTACGTGCCTTTTGATGCTGAGACAGGCCAGTGTTTCATCCAGACTGTTGGTTTGTGATTTATGTCTGAATAAATAATTAATAAAGATATATTCTACAGTTTCATAAATCCTCATATGTAAAATAAAATGGGAATGCTACTGACACAATCTGTTTGTGAAGTGATCAAGTAATCAAGGTCTGAGGTAATCAAGAACTTGATCACCACATTTCCTTATGTAGCTTCAGAATAAATTCTGAAAGTGTTACTGGGTTTACTGGTGCTTCATAATTCAGCACAAAGGGAAAATACAAGCTTCATTTTTTATAATAAAAACCTGGTAAAATGTTACATTGTTATATAAAATGTGTTTATGTTTTATGTGTATATGTTTTATTGCCAGATGTAGCTGTAAAGCTACATTGTTTCCAACGTGCACTTTGTTGGGGATCTGTTGAGTGCTCACTGTATGCCAGGCAGCTACCACATGTCGGGTCTGTCTACCACTGCTTAGCTCTCCACTCTTGGACAGCTTCATATAAACTGTGCCCCAAGTCTATCCCCTTAGAACATTGCTAAGATGTTAGTTACAAAAGATTGTTGAGACCAAGTGAGCTATTGATTGCAGGCAAAGCAGCAGATGTGGAGTGTAGAGAGAATGCAGCAGGGGTTAATGCAGGTTCATCTCCTGTCTTCGTAGATGACTTTCAGGACAGACAGCGTGAATAAAGTTGTATCAAACCACAGTGACGTGATGTGCTCTAATCCTTTCCTGTTTCGCAAAGGGACAATGGGATGTGAGAGTGGATGGGCCTCGTTATGGTGAGGGCTTTGATTAAGATTCAGATCAAGTGGTGTGAAGATGTAACAAAGGGAGGAACATCTCTGTCCTGTAGCAGTCTTGTGGTCTCTCCACTGCTGGATAGAAGGTGGATCTTCAGGACTGGGCAGGGCCTGACTGCTCATGCCAAGAACACAGATGAAGGAAACAGCATGGCTTCTGCAGTGACCTCTGAGGGGTTCCTCCTTGCAGTCCACTATAAGGTAAATCTTAGACTGAGTCTGGGCTGATGTAACTTTCAGGACATGCCTGTTGGAGCTTGCTATCATGGGGAGTATGCTGAAATTCTGTTAAGGGGGGTCAGTGTGGTGACTCTGGAGTGTGAGATCCTTTATGTGAAGTTTTACTCAGCCCAGCTCTGCTTGTCAGAGTGTGTGAGTAAATATTGTTAATTATTTTCTAATATATATTAGAACTCAGAATCACCAGAAATGTTTATTGTAAACATTTTTTCTTGTCACTTAAAACCATACCTTTATTGGCTTCTGTTCTATGCTTGCATGAGTTACTGTCTATCTGGACCAGGAGTCATTTTGATTTTTTTATGGATATCTAACATATGTATCTTTTCCAAGATCTTTCCTTCCACTTTCTCGCCTGCACTCTTAAGTATGTTGCAGAAATAGCAGAGAAAGTCTTCCTGTCTCCTAGCCCTGCCATGGTCTTTGCTGGAATGGAAAACAGCTAACCACTAGTATAGCAACCACCTTTTCTCTGTATAGTAGAAATGCATGAATCTGACTCACATAGAAGAACTGGGGCATCTCTCTGTTTCTGTGTCTTTGTCTCTGTCTTTGCCCCACTCCATTTCTCCCAGAGAAGCCCATTATAGTTTGAATGACTGGAAGTCCTGATTAAGGTGGCAGCGCCTGTGTATGATGAGCTTATTGCTGAGCTGTGGGAGGCCAGAGGGAAAAGGGACCAATCTGTCCCAAGTCCTTTGATGGCATTACTACATTCATGAGGGTTCTACCTAGTGCGCAGCCCTTCTAAAGACCCTTCTTTTCAACCATGTGACATTCCTGATTAAGTTTTCAGTGCTTGAATTTTGGAGAGACATTCAGAGTGTGGTAAACTTGATGTGATCACTGAGTCAGATACTTAGGGGGATTCCAAAGGAACTGCTTTTAAAAGTAGACAACTTTCTTGATGAAGTTGGATTGAGGTCCCGCTGTATATAACTCACTGCCCCCCAATAAGTGGCTTGAACAGCTGGTTTCTTTTCCAGAAGCAACATAGAGCTAGATTTGTCTATTATTAGGGACCTAAGTTCTCATCTGACTGCACTGCTAGCCTCAGCCTCACAAAGTGTACTTCACAGTCCATAGCGGTTGTCAGAGCCCCACCATCTTACCTCTGATTAAAGCCAGCAAAAGAAACAGGAAAGGATAAAGGGATGCCTGTTTTCTTCTAAGGCATCATTTCCAGTGAGTCCACAATGTTTCTGCTTACAGTTACTGACTAGAACCTATTTGCAAAACTTTTTTAAGCTGCAGGGGAAGTAGAAAAGTGAAATCTTCAGCATTGCTACCCCAAATAAAACTGAAGATCTGAGCAATGAAAATGCCTTGAGAACAGTAGCAGTGTTCACAGTCTGTTGAGTATAAATGCTGAAGATTACTTTAGATGAGTACGGTGGATTTTACCACAGTCAAACCAATAGAGCAGGTTGGGGATGTGGCTGAGTTGGTACAGTGCTTGACTAGCATAGAACACTGATTTGATCGCTGGCACCACATAAGCCTGTGGCAACAAACACTAATCCCAATCTCTCATAGTGTGTAGATGCAGGAGGATTAGCAGTAACTCAAATCAGAAGAAAAGTAAAGAAAAGCAGGGAAGAGCAGCTGGAGGCCAGGACTCCAATGGTCCCAATACCTTAAGTATCTTCTCTACTGAGCTCTGGGGTAATGAAACTCACAACTTTCTGGCTGCTGTCCTAAGACCCTTAAGCCATTCCACCCTGCACACCAGCACTTTACAGAGTGGTAACTGCAGTCCTGTGGGGATATAGAGTTGAGGAGATATGATTTGTGCTGAAAGTATAAAATGCATGATAGAATTTGAAATTAAGCCAATGAAAAATGGTTTACTAATATTTATAGAAATCATGTAATGTTTTGGAAATATGTGCTTAATAAAAATTTATCCTTTCTAAAACTGTGACTACTAAGTTTAATATTGTGTATGTACATGGTATATTTTCCTCAGTGAAGATGGAACACAAGATGACAAAGGGCAGGACATTTCTCTCAACATATTAAGCCCTCAAGAAGAGTTTAATTCATTAGATAAAATCTGAGATTGGACATTTCGCAGCTTAATCACGCATGTTAAATATTTCTAAAGTAGTTTTTATTTTATGTCTTTAAAATTAAATTTGTTCTTAGACAGTTTCTTACATTTAGCATAAAGCAGTTAGATTCTAATTTTATAGGACACAAGCTATTTCAAAAAGTAATGACTAAACATTGGTATAATGTTTATAAGTTACTAAACATTGATAAGACATGGGAATTACAGTTTGAATAGTCACCCAGGGATTGTCGATCACCAGCTCTGTGCAGCCAGGAAACAATCTGAAGCAAATATGAGAAAGTTAAGATCTGCTTGCTCTGGAGGGGTTACAGCAAGTACTGTGCCACTCTTCTCTATGTCGGTCCCTGCCCACGGTGGTTGGTATTGCCAACTTGACTGGGTCTAGAATGACCTGGAGGTAATCCTCGGCATGTCTGTGAAGAGTCTCTGGACTGGATTAACTGAGATTGGGGTGCGCACCATATCTGAACAGCATCAGATTCCTTGGGTTGGGATCCTGGGCTTAATAAAAGTTTGAAAGTAAGGTGAACACCAGCTTCCAACTCTGCTTCCTGACTGAATGCAGTGTGATCAGCTGCCTCATACTCCTGCCATGATGTCATCTCTACCCTCAAACTGAACAAGAGAATCCCACCGTTAAATTGCTTTTGTTGGGCATTTTGGCACAGTGATGAGAAAAGTAATGCAACCCCAAAATGGGGATTGAACCAAGGCCCTTGTACATTCTGGGTAAGCTCTCTACTACTGAGCTATATTCCCAGTCTTCTTTTTTTTTTTTTTTTTTTTGAATAAGGTCTTAGTTGCCTAGATTGTCCTTAAAGTCATAATACTCCTGTGTCAGCTTCCCAAGCAGCTGGGATTACAATTGTGAGCCCCAGAACAGTATATACACATTCATATGAGTAGGCCATATGTATGCATATATTCATATATGTGTGTGTTTGTATTCATGTCCATGCTGCATTGTGATTACTAGTTAAACAGCACTTTCTTCTGCTCTCTAATCCAACTAGGAATCAAATCTATATAATGAACTCTATAATATAATCTATATAATAAATTCTTATCATCCAAGGCCTGGAAAACCTCACCTCCATGGAATCAATGCTACCTGTAACTACAATTCCAAGCAGTGGTTATTGGAAATACTTCTTCCTGTATTCTCTTCTAAGGAAGAACCGGAATGTTACTGTTCACATGGTAGATGGTCCTGTTGGCCTCACAGGCCAGTAAGTAAGGCTTTATGGTTTTTGTGCCAAGTGCCCCTAGAGGTTCACATGTGAACACTAGATCCCTGTTAATGGGGCTTTTAGGGGATGTTGAGACTGTTTAGGAGGTGGACCTACCTTGATGAAATGGATTTCTAGGGGGCTGGCATTGAGGATGATCAGCCTTCCCGCCTCTGCCCTGGCCCTCTGCTTCCTAATCAGATACCTCACTGCCAACACCACAGCCCTGGGGTGAGCCACTCCCAACACCAGGCCTTCCCCTTCATGGTGGACTCTACCGTCATACCCAGAGCCAGAGGAGATCCTTTGTCTTTTGTTCTTGGCTAGATTTTTGGTTGTGACAATGGAAAAAAAAAAAAAACAAACTTGGATCATTATCCATCTTATAGTCCAGAAAATTAAGTGTACCAGTGAGTAGACATCCGTTGGGGCTACCAACCTTGAGTGTTTAAGAGCTTCAAGGAGCGGGTATGCTTGTCCTTTATCAAGTAAACATGGTGGATGTCGAGGGGGTCTGAGACACTGAGATGGCAAGAGGGTGGGTTTGACATTCACTCAAAGTCACGGAAGCACTAGGACCAATTGTGCCTCCAATCCTACGTGTCCTGTGCCCTCCCTCAAGCAATAGGCAAGGTCAGTGTGGGCTCTGAGTACCGCCAGTGGACGTACGCATCTGCTCTTGAGACTCAAGCCCTTCATGTGGAAACTAGGTCTTTCAAGCTCTCTCAGACAA